ACAGTTCAACCCTGAGCTACACGTATTTGCCTCCAAAGCTAAATGCGTTGTGTGTCCAGTACTGGGAAGTCTCCAGGACCTTCCCTCTCATGGGGTTCATTATTCAACATGAGGTTCTGAGGAGCTTTTTTTCCCTTTTATGAGGGTGCTCTGGCAGCCAGGAAGGCAGCATAACAGTGGGATATGGCAGAGAGATGGAGGGCCACAGGCAACGTCACCCAAGACCCCTGCCCCCTGCTGGACCCCAGGCTGCCTCCTGTTCTGGGATGGCCCTTCAGGGTTGATGCTCCAGGTGGCCACCCAGGCCTCAGTTGGACCACAGCCAGAGCTTCAGGAACAACCCCCAGCCCCCTCAGAGACATGGCAGAGTCCGCCAGGCACCTGGAGTGGACCGTCTGAGCAGGTCTTGCCTCCCTGCGGGGAGGTGCAGCACCCGAGAGCTCCAGAGCTGGCAGGGAGTGATCTGTCCATGGCAACATCCCCCAGCTCCAGATCATACTCGGGTTATTAATGGTATTAAATGTAGGTGAAGAAAACAAGTTTCCAAATCATGGGAAGTAGTTCTGGACACCACCTGTGGAATCATGGCATGGAAAGGGGTGCAGAGGTCATCTGGTCCAGCCCCAGCGCAGGATCTGCTAAACCAGCCTATTTAAAGGCTTATTACAGAAACAGCAATTTAAAGGTCAACAAAGCAGCATAACAATGTAAAGAAGAGGTATGTCAGGGTTGATCATCCTCCTTCTCCCAGGAGACAAAGGCCAAACCACAGTAGTTATGGATAAATCACAATACTTGCAAAAAGGCAAAAAGTTATTAGAGGACGAAGAAACCTACATCCCAGTTAACACCAACCCAATACAGAAACTAGACAACCTAATCAAGAGAACCCTCAATGACCTAACCAAGAAAGGCCAGATCACTAAGGAAGAACAGTGGTGGGTGAAAAGCAGTGGACCCGTCCTCCCACGCTTCTATGGACGACCAAAAATACACGAGCCTGACATACTGCTTCGACCAATCGCATCTTTACCAGGGACTCCAACATACAACATAGCGAAAGAACTGACAAAAAAGCTTGGACACCTCACACAGAAAAGAGCGAATATTCTCTCAACTCCTCACTACAGTGCCTCCAGAAAATCAAAGACGTACACATAGATGAAGATGAAAT